GATAAAAGGCTCTCAAAAGTTGAAGGTGAGTTGAGATAAAGTGGTTTTGACTGTAATTTAATCTGTTTTCCCTTATAATGAAGCAGCCAGGTAAAATCTTCATTCACTGTTTTTGAAGAAATTATTGAAGGGCCTGCAGAAGGCCCACTGACACTTTCCGCAACAAAGGAAAATACTAAGCATTTATCTGAAGAAGAGACATCTTTCTAACCTAAATAAATAAATGAGAATAATTTCGTGATATGTATTTTGTACCATTTCTTTCCAGTAAATCATCTGATACTAATCTGAGCTTCAAATCTAATAAAGAACTAGCTGGAGTTGATGGCTCAGAATGACATGGTTCCTGTTTCTGTGGATTGCTGTTTCTCCTTTCCTGATTTTTACGCACGTTTAATCTGAACATAATAGGCATCTTTCTGTCTCTGACAGATAAAATAGGCTATGCGTAGAGCCACCTCAGTATTCATGCTGCATTGCGTCTGCTAAATTATCGCGTAGCAATGTAATTATTAATCACGTGATGCAAAAAATGTCCAAAAGTTAAAACCCTTTCAAATGAAAAATAATAGTTTTAAAATAAAACAAAGACCAAAGTAACAAAATAAACAGTACATTCTCATACAACAATAATTAAACTATTATATTACAGAAAATACAAGAAAAGAGTCATATCTAAATCTACCACAGGTACACATAACTGGTCTTTGAAAAAGTACTTTTCCAGCTGTATCATGAAGTAGAGAGGTCTAAATAAGTTCTTTTGGTCCTAATCTCATATAAACATCAAAGATGGTAAATCACAATATGATTAAATCTATATACTCCAAGGTATCTTGCAAGCAGAGGTACACAAATGGAAAATTGACCGCCACTGGCAATTCATTGTGACAGCATCATTAAGTCTCACTCAAACTGAAATATGTAGAATTTTTACCCCTTAATAATGGTAGCATAAAGTTTTGAGGGAGACACAAGCCTTTTTGACAGAGAAATAGCAACATTAGTGGTTTGCCAAAAGAGTCGGCCATCTTGAAAAAGATAACAGAGATTGCAAAAAATTTTTATACACAAATGATGCACTCACGTGATCCCGTTGCCAATCCCGGTTATGTAGTGTATTATATTCCTGATTACGTTAAGGTGCTCATAACTTTCAGGGGCAACTCTGAAGAGACTCAACTACTTTCAAGTTACCAATATTGATGCCTTCACAACTTAAAAATCCTTTTATGACATTTGTTCCATATGTTTCTCTAACGTGTCAAAATCATCATAAAAATTAATTTCTATATTTACTTATCTACTTCATCACCAGCTTGTTTCACTACTTCGTCAGCCTCTTCCTCATCGATCTTTGTTAATCCATGCAGTTTACAGAATCTTCTCAAGGATCTTTCAGACAATCCCTTTTTTGACATTAACATTTGTTTTAACTGCTCACTTATCTCTTCATAGGTTTAACCACTCTTTCTATGACATGCAACATACTCAACCTCCATTGTTACTTTAGCCACGCCTATTCTCTTGTGTCATCTTGACGCATAATTATTTTCACGTGTGTAAAGGAGGCAAGAAGAAGGAGAAGTTAGCTGAAGGAGACTCGGAAGTTGGAAATCATGTCTCTTTATACAATCCACAATAATGACAACCTGACCAGCTGAACCGACAAAGCCTTGGCCAGGCTTTCGGCCTATTCCCGAAGAGTGTATACCTCATTTCAGAAGACAGAGAACTAGAAACTGCTGATGAATGTGGCGTGTTTGTTGACATAACAAGTTTCATTAAATATGAAGTGCATGGGAACACCATGCCAAGCGATCAGTCATTGTCTGCTGCTGAAAGTATCGGCATTGCTGGTGCCGCATACAAGTCAAGGTCTCCATTAGTCAAGCAACTGTTGCGTCCAGCAAGACATGGCCTAAAGGAATTTCTATAAAAGCTAAATGGGCTGCAAAACCTCCTGGGGTTAGGGTTACTGTGAATAGTAAAGACAAATGGACAAAAATATAGAAGTTCATCACCATAACAATGAAAATCTTCTTAAATTCTTCAATTTTTCAATCAGTCTGAAAGAGGAACAGCCAACACTAGGCAGATATTGGAGCTTCTGTCAATTGAGGCCTTCAGTGGTGAAAAAGTAATTTTGCTCAACAATGACAATCTTCAAATGCCTGATACTACTGCATCCGGATGTCAGTTACTTGGTCGTTGTTATTACATTTTTGTGGTTTGTGTAATTGTGATTTCCTGTTATCATTTCTACTATAATGAACATGACTTTCAGTATGTATCTACGTATGCATATGGCATAGATAAGTAGGTATTCAAATTTTTCACACATGACTAGTAATATACTGTAAAAATTTAATTTCAATAGCTAAGGCTTTAAAACTATACTAGGGCCACACTGACTTTTCCACTCATTATAAATTCAAACTTCCTAGGTCATCTTTAAGTAGCTGCCAATTATGAATAAGTTTTAAGTATTTGTTTATCTTAAAGTTTACCTCTGAGAATGTAATTAAAAGTACAGTATATTTAGTGGTAGGAAAAGCTAAATATTCTCAACAATAGACCACTTTTTCTAGTCAAATCTTCTTGTTTGACTCTATTTGGTCGAGATTAGCATTCATAGGTAAAAAAAGTACCTAGATTAGTAGATATTTTTGAATTTTCTAATCTCTTTTTTGTTTGAGAGTTACAGTTGCTCAAAGTTTGTGATTTAGCGTATTGGAAACATTTTCAGGCAGCACTGGTAAAAGCAGGAGCAACCAAACTGCCAGTCTCTTTTAAATATCTAAGCAAAATTTTGTGCTAACTCTCTATAAATAGAGATTGAGATGCTAAAATAAATTTTAGCTTTTCTTCTTTCTCCTAGCCACGAGCCATGTTTAGTTTCACTGCTTTGCTAAGTGATGACCTCACTTATAACTGTTATGGATCAGTGCAGAAATTGCATTGTTGCAGTTTACTCAAAATATTACACCTGTAACATCACCTCCCTCTTGTCTGTCACCCTTGGGTGTAAGCTTGTGCAAGTAAGTCTCAATCAATTATTAGCACATACACCCGCACAAGCATATAGTTGCATGACAACTCAGCACATCATAATTGACCTTTTACTAATACATTATAATCAATATACATGTCACATAAAGGTAGATTTACCCTTGAAATAAAATTTGGTTCTACTCTAGTATCAAAAAGTCAAGTCCATAGTTATTGATTAAAAATTGACAATACACTGACCAAACATAATATTGTAAAATTTCCTCAGGCTAGGTTTACTGTCAACATAATGGTTGAAATTACATGTAAATAATTTTTAAATTCCGACATTTGAAGTAAATGTGCCAAATTTTAATTTTGCGATAATTTGTGTAGCATTTATTGCAACTGTAAACCAGGCATTCATTATTATTTGGTAATTCATTACTGTATCTTTTAAGTGATTGAAATTAATGCCTATACCTTCGTGTACTATTGTAATGAAAATGTATTATCAATACTTTTATTAATAGTAAACAATATTTTTATCAATATTGCACAAATGACTAAGTGTTAAATTAGTAATGTTTTTAAATGTCTTTCT